TTGTACGACTGAGACCATTCGCACACCAGTGACTGTCCCTTTATCACTCCTTCCTGTCCCCCTCATGTGCATGTCCAACCCATGCTGGAGTCATTCAGGGGACCCTCCCTTTTTAATGTTGTGAGGTGTGGGGGTTATAGGGTTGGTTCTGTACTCACCTGGTAAGGCTCCTGGCTGTGCTTGCAGGATTTGAGCTCTGGCTCTTGGGTCCCGCCTATCTGGTAGAACTTGCGGGATAGTACCAGTGGAGTGCAGTGGTGCTGTTGGCACTTTTGGGGAACACTGTATTACCATCAGTGGTCTGTGCTTGTTACACGACCTACTTGCGAGCATAAGCCTTCTTGCTGGTTCGTCCGTGGACTTCCAGGGCGCACTGGCCTGTTTTCGTATGGCAGTTCCGGCCCGTCCTGGTTGTGGGGATATGTGGGCCGGTGGACTGCTCCTCGCAGCTGCCTGGTGGGCCATCCTCTGGCCGGTCTGGCCTGACCTTGGGCCGGGCTTCAGGTGTAAAAGCGCTCCCAGTACCTCATCCAGCAGGTATCGAGCGGGGTTTCTCCGCCGTCGGTCGCCTGGTGCAGGTTTCTGGGCCTGCAGGGTTTTGTTGTCTCCGTTGGCCCTGTCTGGGGTCGGCCTGCTCCGTTCTCTGCCTTTGCAGAGGGGAGTTGCTATTTACATGTTGCATGTTGCAGTGGTGCCTGTTGCGGCTGCTGCACATGTGCATTGGTACCGTGTTTCACGGTGGCGTGTCCTTGTTCCTGTGTCCGGTTGTGGAGTGGCACTTTGCTGCCGTTTTGTGCCTGGGGATTGCGTGGGGTTTTTGTCCCTGCCTGATTGTCCACCCCTGGTTGTTCTCCTGGGTTTTTTTGTGCTTCTGCTCTTTCTTCCTGCCTCCTCTGCAGCAGGGATGTTCTGCGTGTGTTCTTAGGCGTTGGTCAGCCTGTGTCCTGTGATGTGCTTCTTTGTCTCGGTCTATTGCAGTTGTTCGTGCCCCTTTGTTTGGGTCCTGTTCTGGCGGCGACCCTTCCGCCTTCTTTGGTTTTCCTAGCTTGCCCTGCCGGTTGTTTTTTTTTGGGGAGGGGGGGGGGTTTCTTGCGATGTCTCGCGTCGGACCCGTCGTTTCTGAACTCCTGGCGGGCTTGCATGCTTTGGGGAGTTTTTCTGTTCGGTAGACGTTCCATCTCCTTGTGCCGCCTGGGTTTCGGTGGTCGCGCCCGAGATCTTCTCGCGGCTCCGCCTTTTCCTGGGCTCGGGGGGGGGGGGCCTTGTCGGGGCTGCTTATGTTCTGCCTCGTGGTCTCGCCTCCGGTTGGTGGTCGGGTGGCTTCGTGGTAGGTGTCCCACCTGCGTGCTTCTCTTGGCGGCAGTATGGGGTATTTTGGCGGTCCTTCCTTTTCCTGTCCCTTCTTAGGTGGTTACTCTTGTTCGCTTGGTTTACTCTCGGCTTGGTTTTCTAGTGGGGGTTGGGGGCCGTCGTCTTGCCACATACTGTCGCCTCTTTTCGTGCGGCGCAGGCGGAGTCGCATCAGCTTGCTTTCGGTCTTGGTGTTGCTTCTGCACCGTTAGTCAGCTGTCTTGTGCGTCGTTTCACCTCCGGCCTGTTCGTGCGCCGCTTGCACCATCCTGGTCTCTGGTCAGCGTGCTCTGTCTTCTCCTCGGTTGGTAGTGCCCCTTCGGTTCCGGTGTGTTTTTTCGTCGACTCTTTCCTTTGGGCCTTTGCCTCTGGGGGTCGAGTCGCTGAGTTTTCTTGCTCCTTCGGTTTTAGCGTTTTGGTTGTTTGATGGCAGCAGTCTCCATCTTTTCTGGCGCGGGGTGGGGCTGCTGCATTCTGGAGGGGTCCAGGGTTTGTTGGTGCTTTGTTGGTCGGGCCGGGGGTGTGTCGTTTTTGTGTTCAGTGGCGGCCCTCCGCTGTTGTTTGCTTGCCACAGCGTTTGGGTCCGGAGCGCGTTTTGCGTTGATCCGGTTCTGTTCTTCCCTGTTCGCGGGTGATAGTGTCCCGGGTGGTCAGCGGTGTTCTTGCGGCTAAGCTGCCTGTGTTCTTCCCTCATGCCTGTGGCGTTCGTGGCTTTGCTGCTCTCGCTGCCGTCTGGGCGACGTGGCCTTGCAGTCTTTCGGGCATGGATTTTTGGTGTTCGTGCAGGGGCCTTGCTGCTCGTGGTTCTAGTGTTGTTCCCGGGATTTTCGGGGCTGTGGCGCCTTGGGTTGGCGTTTGCTGCCGGTTGTCTCGCCTCCTTGGGGGGTGCGTGGTGTCCGCCTCCCGGTTTTGTCCCTTTAGACCTTCCTCTGTGGGTAGTTAGCTCCGGGGAGCCGACGGGGCTCCCCCCAGAAAACCAGCGTTGAATGTAATGAAACGCCATTTTCTGGGTGAGACCCGGAGGCTCCCCGGCAACCCTCCCTCCCTCCGGTCGGCGTTTTTCGCGTGTTTTGACATCCAGCCTCAGAACTGATGGGTGGATAGCCGGCGTGGGAGGTCTGGGGCTCCCCCTTCCCCCTCCCGGGGAGGGGGGAGCTGCGCAGACAGCGGCACGGTGACGTATGACATCATACTAGTTTCCTTGTTTTCTGTTGAAGAGTTCTATTCACTAGTTCGGCTTAGGTAGCAATTTTCACCAGAATAGGGGTTTGTTTTGGAATGCTTACCTTTCTGGATGCTTGACCCGGTCGATGGCAGACATAGAATGCTTCCAACCACACGGGGGTTTCTATAGGCCATTGCTCCCCTTGCCTCTCTGAGGGGGCCAGGTTCTGGCTCGTGGTCCCCGGTAGGCCCTAGAACTCCATACACATGACTGATGCCAAAGTCTGACATTAGCATATCAGCCGGTAAAGCTCCGGGGAGCCTCCGGGTCTCACCCAGAAAATGACGTTTCATTACATTCAACGCTGGTTTTTTGCTGTAATATTATTCAATAGTGTGTAGTGTGGTATATTTATATAATAAAATGAGTGAATCATCGCTGTACTCAAAATTATGGTGTGCATATTGTTGATTCAATTATTATGTTCATCAAACAGTGAACAAATACTTTTGTGGTTGTTACACTGTATATACAGGTTATATATAAGTATCTGCATGTTTTGTTCACCATAACGGACCACTAAGTTGGTATTATGAGTCAAAACGCAACGAGGAGTGACCGCCACACGCCAGCCACTCACTCCCTCAACACCTCACTCTCCCACATTCTCCCACCATACTGTTTTTGCTTTTATTCACTATATACAGACGTTATATATAAGTATCTACATGTTTTGTTCACCATAACTGTACAACTAAGTTGATATAGTTAGTTCAGGCACTAAGAGACGTCGCTACACACAGTCAGCTGGCGGCTGCCTCCTTCACACATTCAAGGTCAGGCGCACTAAAATTTCACCCCCAACAATACTGTTTGTGGTGTTATTACCCTATATACAGATGTTATGTATAAGTATCTACATGTTTTGTTCACCATAACTGTTCAACTAAGCTGATATAATGCCCAAAAAGCATAGTGGCCACCCCTACCAACATGACAAATCATGCAGATGTTGCCACCCTCATCACCAAAATGGCTTCTCCCCCACACTTCTTTTGCTGTTATTACACTGTATATACACGTTATATATAAGTATCTACATTCGTGTTCACCATAACAAACCACTAAGTTGGTATGCTGAGTGGTAGTGGCAGCCAGCGGCAACCCACCACTGGCGGCCACTCCCGCCCGCCCTCACCTTACCTGACTCGCCACTATTCTCCTCCAACCATACTGTTTTAGTTTTTTTTATACAGACGTCATATATAAGTATCTGCACGTTTTGTTTACCATAGCGAACAACTAAGCTGGTATAGTGAGTCCAGATAGTAAAAGATGGTCACACAGAGTCAGTAGACAATGCTACCTCCCTTCCCACCAAGATTACTTCTCCCACTACAGTGCTAATTATCACAACAATCCTGATATTATCAGAATCCTGGTCATCAGGGATCAGTCAGGGGTCTTTCTGTAATATCATTGCTAAATAATAGCATGAACATGTATATTATGGCATTTTTAGGCAATGCTGTGTTCACAAGCTGAACAGCAGGCGCTGTGAGCTTATGCTACGTGCATCAGGCTTGGTGGCTCACTCAATACTGAGGCCCCTCACACCCGGGAATTTGGCCCACAATTTAAAAAAAAATGGCGTCTGTTTACAAGAGCCCTGATGAAGGTGAGGTGAACCCCGTGTATCCGTGGGTCATTTAAATCTTGTGTAGTACTCTAATACATCATATGATGGGATGCACATTTTATAGCAAGTCACTCAACCCCATCATATGATGTGTTGCGCAACTTAAGGGTTAAGCACAGGATTGTTCATTCCATAGAAAAATATCCCTAGTTACTTCTTACACATATGGTGCCCATATCTTAAGAAGCACATCAACAAACTGGAAAAGGTGCAAAGACATGCTACTAAGTGGCTCCCAAAACTGAAGGGCAAGAGCTATGAGGAGAGGTTAGAAGCATTAAATATGCCAAAACTAGAAGACAAGAAAAAGAGGTGATATGATCACTACATACAAAATAGTAACAGGAATTGATAAAATCGATAGGGAAGATTTCCTGAGACCTGGAACTTTAAGAACAAGAGGTCATAGATATAAACTAGCTAAACACAGATGCCGAAGAAATATAAGAAAATTCACTTTCGCAAACAGAGTGGTAGACGGTTGGAACAAGTTAGGTGAGAAGGTGGTGGAGGCCAAGACCGTCAGTAATTTCAAAGCGTTATATGACAAAGAGTGTTAGGAAGACGGGACACCACGAGCGTAGCTCTCATCCTGTAACTACTTAGGTAATTACACTTAGGTAATTACATCTAATGGAATACAGTATTTAATTTGTTGTGAACTGTATGGTTTTTAATTCTAGTTCATATCAGTTATTCTTCACCAATTGGTATTAGTTAGATGGTAAATTTTTAGATTGCTTTACCATGGGCTTACTGAAACAGTATTGATATTTTCTTTTTTAGAATGACCGCAAGACCTGGTTGGCCAAAGCCCCAAGAGAAGAAAAAGAACCTAAACCTCCAAATGCACAAATCTTGACTGTACCTTTACAAGGTAAGTGTCTTGGCTTTCTTTTTTTTTTATCAGATTCAGTTGTCGATTTTTATTTATTGATATTTCTTCTGAAATTAATTACTTATAATTGAGTCACTTTATTTGTAATATATTAAAATTACATTTTTTTCTGTGGAGAGCCCCTTCAGCTTCCCGGAGCTATACAGAGCTGATGTGTATATATTAGACAGTGGCAACAGTCAGTCCTCTATGTTTTATGCTTCCATCGACAGACAAATGGGCAAAAAAGTTTCTTTCACCCTGATGCCCCTGTTACCCAGCAGCAAATAGGTACCTGGGAGTTAGACGGCTGCTACGGACTGCTTCCTGGGGGTGTAACAAAAAGGAGGCCTGGTCGAGGACCGTACCGCGGGGACGCTAAGCCCCGAAATCATCTCAAGATATCCTCAAGATAACCACCACCTCCCTGAGAGGGGAAATGGGGGAACCCCAGTCCTCCCGCACTGGCTACTTAACAGTTCTGAGGCTGTGGTGTTGAATGGCGGTCGATCAACTCTGGCTCCATCCTTTGAGCATCAGCCTTAGTGTTCTTTTGCTGTGTGGTGGTGTGTGAGCCAGGTGTAATTCTAGAAGTACTGGGGCTGCATGCACCTAGGTGCCCTGTAAGTTTGGGGTTACCTTCCACAAACTGTTCAGGGACTGCCTCTGCTGGTTTTTTTTTGGTTTCCCCACCCTTGGGATTAGCTGGGGGGTTTTCCTACCACTGTTTGGCCTTGGGTAGGAGATAGTATCATCGCTGGCATGGGTGCAAGGTAGTGCAGCTGTCTTATAATACGCATAGTGGCCGGTTCTGTTCCTCCTGGAGATGTGCTTTTGTGGTGTGTTTATTTTCTTATGTTTTGTTTTGCCTGGTGAAGGTCTGCCTAATGTGGCTGTAGGACCACTTGTATTATTTGGTTGGGCCCTCCGCTAGGTCACCCGTGATTGCATACATCGCAGGGGTTCAGCGTTTTGATTGTTTGGGCGTCTGACAGCTGAGTGGACAGCGCTTCGTATTCGTAGTCCTGAGATTCCGGGTTCGATCCCCGGCGGAGACAAATGGGCAAAATGTTTTCTCACCCTGATGCACCTGTTACCTAGCAATAAATACTATTGGTACCTGGGATTTAGACAGCTGATATGGGCTGCTTCTTGGGGGATGTGTAACAAAAAAGAGGCCTGGTAGAGGACCGGGCCACGGGGATACTAAGCCCCGAAATAATCTCAAGAAGATAACTCAAGATAGGTAATTCTGGGATAACCTGTTAGTAGTACCTTGCCTGGGCTTCCCTTAGCAGTCAGCCTAAGGGCCCTGGAAACCCTCATTGGGGCTCATTGGTCCAATGGATGTGTCCTCTGAGTCCCATCTCGCTTCATGTGAGTTTGAAGATTGCTCTGTCACCTTGTCTCAGGGTGACACTCACTGTTTTTTGCCATGCTGCCTGTTGGGTCGATGATACCTTTGACCCGGAGTCCTGCGAGTGGTGTTCCTTACTTGTACTCCAGTTCACCCAGTTCACTACTATTGATATTTGGGTGCAGGCAGCTAAAGTGAACTCCCTCTAATCCCAAGGAAACAAGCAAACGTCACACTACACTGCTGCGCCGCTTGTCCGTGTAGCCTTCCCGTCCTCGAAAGGGGGAGGGGGGGAGGTCCAGACCTCCCCCGCGCCAGCTACTCATGCCTTCAGTTCGTAAGCTAATGTCAACCGGGACAGACACTTCCCTGGCCTCAAATTCCTTGGCGGTGTTTTACCTTCGTGGCAATCTCTGCTGTGTTCTTGTTCTGCGTGGTGGCCAGGAGTTACTCATCAGTACCGGGGCTGCATGCGCTTAGGGTCTTCCTACCTTAAGCGCCCTGTGAGTACTGTCCTTGTGTGTTAGGGTTCTCTTCCCTGGGGCATTTGGGAACCATTTCCGTAGAGGTTTTTGCTGCTTGACATTTACTTCATCGGTGGGGCTGGGGTTTTGGGGCCCTTATTTGGCCTTGGGTAGGAAGTAGTATTGTGCTGGTTGGGGCATCAAGGTGTTGGCAATTGTGCAGCCTGCCTACCTAAGTGACAGCCAGTTCCTGTTTCATCTCGGGATGCTGTACTTTTGCGGGTTTTTTATTTTCTTTGTTTCAAATTGCCTGGTGGGGTCTGCCTAGTGTGACTATAGTTCCACTGATGATATTTTGGTGGCCCTCTGTTAGGCCCCCGTGATTGTACATGTCGCAAGGGTTTCAGTGTTGTCCTCTTTCCTTGTTAGCTTGGGTGTTAACTGGTTAGCAACATCTTTCCCAGGCTTCCCGTAGTCAACACCCAGTGGCCCCTGGTAAACCCTGTTGGGCTCGGTGGAACAATGAATGTGTCTTCCGGGTTCCAGCCCGCCTTGTGTGGGATTGAGGGTTGCTGTGTGCCCTTGTCTCAGGGGTGACAGTCACCTCTTTTGCTTCCGTCATGCATGCATGTTGGGTTAACGACACCTTAGACCTGGAGTCTTGAGTCGTGTTCTCTGCATGTTCTCCAGTATTATTCTGATATTACTGTTCGGGTACAGGCAGCATCCACATTGCATGCTCGGTTTAGGTTGCTGCAACGCGCTAGGTTGATTTCCCGCCTGGATGCCCTGCTTTGGTTACAGCGACGTGAACCTGGGGGCATTAGTCACTTCGACTTTGGTTCTTCCCCCTGTTGTTCATTCTGCAACCCCCCCCCCCCCCCCTCCTGCTTCCGGATCATTCCAAATGTCTGAGGGTTTCAGAGTCGGAGCAGGGTTTAGTTGGTAATGAGACTCGGGCAGCTTTGGAGGGGGGGGGGCTGCCCCATTAGGGTCAGGGATGGGGGCATTTGACTCTGTTCCTCCTGCTGAGGCTTCTGGGTCCCACCAGCAGCCCCCCTCCCCCCCCCTCTTGTCAGCCTTTCCCCTGGACTCTGCCTTTTCTTCATGGGTAGAGGGTATGGAGGACTGCTACACCCCGGGTCCCGAATTGGGGGATCTCGGGGCTGGGTAGGAGTCAACCTGGGGGCCTTGGATCCCCCTTTGACCCCGCTTGGGTGATAGTGCTTTTTTTCACAGGGCTTGTTGCTGAGGGAGGGTTTTTGTACCCCCCTTCTCTGTATGAGTATGATTTGGGTTCGGCTCCTCCCCGGGTTCGGTTCCGGACCCCTTTGGGTACCTTGACCCCATCTTTCCGGAGGTTTTCTGCTTTTCTTAACTCCACGAGGAAGGTTCGAGAGGCTCTTGCTGCATACCTCCTGCGAGCCCCAGATTCTGCCTTTATTATGGATTCATCCTCTTTTGAGTTCGGTTCTTCCCTTTTTTGGGTGCATTTAGGGGTTCCGGAGTCTTCCTGGCAGGCAGACTGCCCTTTCTTTTCGTTGGGGGTGGCATGGGTTCTGTTGGTCCTGCACACTTGAGCGGCGAGAAACATCTACCATTCTGCAGGTTTACCTGGGGGACGAGTTTGAGCGCCTTAATGCGTACTTGTTTGCCCCTGTGCTTTCTCGGGATGTTGGCTTTGTACAGCTTCACGTGCAGGTTCCTTCCCTTTCGGCGTCCTTAGTTGCAGAGGATTTGTGCGCCCATGGGCATTTGGCTTCGGTCTTACGCTTCTTTTCCCTTCTCGAGCTGTCTTCTGTCTGGCTTGAGGAGGATGTGGAGGTGTTGAGTGTCGAGCCTTCGTCTGGGGTGCTGTCCTCGGCAGCTAGGGTGTCGGCCCCACTGTTGAAGATCTTTGTTCCTATTCTAAAGGAGGCGGTGTTTCTGTTCTTTGCTTCTCGCCTCGCGTTCTGTCAGGCTGTGTTCGACCTCTCTTTGAAATTCGCTTGGGCCCTGGCTCTCAGGTTTTCGTTTCCGTTTTGCCTGTTGCTGTTTGCAGAGGCTGCGGTCATGCAGTTTCTGCATGCGGCTTCGTTTAATTGTCCTATGTCGAACTTGTTGGTTCTCTAGGGTGGCAGTTCTTGCCCTTCTCGGAAGGGTTGTGCCAGGGCTTGGGATTCTGCTAGTTGAGGTGGGTCATTGGTGCCAGCTTCTGAGCCGACATTGCTTTCAGAGCTGGCTTTGTCTGGTTGGTGCGGTGATCACTCTGTTCGGCAGTCGGCTTCTCGTTAGGGGTGTTGGCCGTTTTGCGGTTCGCCCCATTGACGGGCCATTGAAGGCAAGTCCGCTGTTTGCTCAATCTTGGTCCCACAATTTGTGGGTGTTTATGGTGGTGTCATCCGGCCTGTGATGGCGTTGGGCGGCTCCTCCTCCTTCGGGGCTGACAGGGGCTGGCTTCTTCCCCTGCGCTTCGTCAGATCATCTTGGAATGGGTGCATTTGAGCGTGGTCGAAGCAACCCTGTCCCTCAGGTGGGTTTCCCACCTGTTTCCAGTGCCGAAATGGGACTGTGCGGATCTGCGGTTCATTCTGGACTTGTCCCGTCTGAACCCCTGGATTCTTTGCCTCTCCTTTCAGATGATTACTCTGTCTCAGGTCCGGCTTCTGTTGGAGCCGGGTGCCTGGATGGTGTCCCTAGGCCTCGAGGACACTTATTGGCATGTTTCTATTGATTCGGATTTCAAGGACTGGTTAGCTTTCGCGATGGGGTGTCAAGCTTACTGCTTTCGTTGCCTTCCTTTTGGCTTGAATCTGGCACCACGTGTATTCTGGCCAACCTCGAGGACTGGCTACTGTGGGCTCCCAGTTAGTCCGCTTGTCTGCTCGTCGGGGATTTGGTTTTTTCCCAGCTCGCTGGGTTCGAGTTCCTGGTGAACTGGAGGACGTCCCATCTGATTCAGTCTCGGGTTCAGGCTTGGCTGGGTTTTGTTTGGGACTCTCAGATTGCTTACTCTTCTCACTCACTCCAGAGGCATTGCTGTGGCTGCAGTCCCACCTTCGGCTGTACCTGGGGGGAGGGTCAAGGGTCACTCGGCAGTTGCTCGAGCAGTTGTGTGGGAGTCTGAACTTTGCTGTGCTGGTCTACCCGCCGGGTCGGGTTTGACTTCAGCGTCTGTTCTGGTTCCTTCAGGGATGCCCCTTGCATCTGTCTCGCGATTGCTGGGTTCGTCCTCTGGGGGCCTTGCATCTGTTACTGTGTTGCGGCTTCCTCTTCAGGGTTTTCGGGGTTCAGTGCCTTGGCAGCTACCCAAGCCCTCGCTTGATGTGTTCATGGATGTATCGTCTCTTGACAGGAGCTTTGAGACCAGTTCTCACTAGGCCGGCCAGGGAGCAGGTGGCAGGGAGAAGGTGTCTGTCCTTCTGTCGGGCTCACGGCACAATGCGGGAGTTAGCGATGGTCTGGTTTTTGCTTTGGGGGGTTCGGGTCGCTCGGGGTTTGACCGTCCGGCTCCATTCGGATTGTTCCACGGTGGTTAACCATAACCACCCATAATAGGTAAATAAATGCATAAATGCCTATGCCCATAATAGGTAAACAGCATGTCAAGGATTTGGGAATAATGATGTCTGACTATCTAACGTTTAGGGAGCACAACCAAGCAAATATTGCGTCGGCCAGAAAAATGATAGGATGGGTTACGAGAACATTCAAATCCAGGGATCCCATCACGATGTTTGTACTCTGTAAGTCACTTGTGTTGTCCTGTCTTGAGTACTGCTCAGTACTCGCTTCCCCCTTCAGAGCAGGAGAGATTGCTGAAATAGAGGTAATACAAAGAACATATACGGCACGCATAGATGCGATAAAGCACCTAAATTATTGGGATCGTCTCAAAGCTCTCCAAATGTACTCTCTAGAAAGGAGACGAGAGAGATACCAAATAATATACACATGGAAAATACTGTAAGGCCAGGTCCCTAATCTACAGAGTAAAATAACAATGTACTGGAGTGAACGATATGGAAGAAAATGCAGAATAGAACCAGTGAAGAGCAGGGGTGCCATAGGCACATTCAGAGAACACGGTATAAACATCAGAGGTCCGTGGTTGTTCAACGTCCTACCAGCGAGTATAAGAAATATTGCCGGAACAACCGTAGACATCTTCAAGAGAAAACTAGATAGTTTTCTAAAAGAAGTTCTGGACCAACCAGGCTGTGGTGGGTATGTGGGCCTGCGGCCGCTTCAAGCAACAGCCTGGTAGACCAAACTCTGACAAGTCAAGCCTGGCCTTGGGCCGGGCTTGAGGGGTTGAACAACTCCCAGAACCCCCATCAAGCAGGTTCTCTTCGGTCCTTGACTCTTTGGGGCTGGTTGCTTTGAGTGGCTCGTCTGCTGGCTTCTCGGGGTTTGGCTCTCGATGTGGTTCATATCCAGAAAGTGTACAAAGTCCTGGTGGACGGCCTGTCTCGGTTCATTCCCCTGTCCACGGAATGGACGATCGACGCCAACTCCTTTCTGTCCGGCTCTGCCGGATGTACGGACTCTTGGAAGTGGACCTCTTCACGTTGGCATGGTCTCGGCGTCTCTGGATCTATGTGGCGACCTTTGTCGACTGCGAGGCTGTGGCGGTGGATGGCCTTTCGGTAGGACTGGTTGAGGTGAGGTTACCTGTACCTCTTTCCCTGGTCCAGCTGCTGCTTCGGGTTCTAGCTTGGTTGGAGTCCTACCCAGGGAGAGTAGTCCTTGTGGCCCCTTGGTGGCTGGCCCAGCCTTGGTTTCAGGCGCTGCTTGCTCATGTGCAAACCAGGGCATTTCCTGTGGCTCCGCCTCTTTCAGCAGGTTGGACCGGTCCAGTACGTGGCTGGTTATCTTGAGGTTATCTTGAGATGATTTCGGGGCTTTAGTGTCCCCGCGGCCCGGTCCTCAATCGGGCCTCCACCCCCAGGAAGCAGCCCGTGGCGGCTGACTAACACCCAGGTACCTATTTTACTGCTAGGTAACAGGGACATAGGGTGAAAGAAACTCTGCCCGTTGTTTCTCGCCGGCGCCTGGAATCGAACCCAGGACCACAGGATCACAAGTCCAGCGTGCTACCCGCTCGGCCGACCAGCTCCCAACTGGTTCGGTCTTCTCCTCTGCTCTTCGCCTCTGGTCTTTTTGATGTGGGTTTATCACCATTTGTATGGTGATCAGGTGGCTTCTTTGATGGTGTCCCACCTGAGAGCTTTGTCTCGGCGGCAGTATGAAATTTCCTAGCTTTTATTCGTCATTTTCTCTTTCTCCGTAGATTGTCTACTATTTCGGACCGGGTTGTCTTGTTCTTTTTCTTGGGTTTTTTCAGGACTGCCATTTGATGCCTAATACTGTCGCCTCGTATTGTAATTACCTAAGTGTAGTTACAGGATGAGAGCTACGCTCGTGGTGTCCCGTCTTCCCAGCACTCTTTGTCATATAACGCTTTGAAACTACTGACGGTCTTGGCCTCCACCACCTTCTCCCCTAACTTGTTCCAACCGTCTACCACTCTGTTTGCGAAAGTGAATTTTCTTATATTTCTTCGGCATCTGTGTTTAGCTAGTTTATATCTATGACCTCTTGTTCTTAAAGTTCCAGGTCTCAGGAAATCTTCCCTATCGATTTTATCAATTCCTGTTACTATTTTGTATGTAGTGATCATATCACTTCTTTTTCTTCTGTCTTCTAGTTTTGGCATATTTAATGCCTCTAACCTCTCCTCGTAGCTCTTGCCCTTCAGTTCTGGGAGCCACTTGGTAGCATGTCTTTGCACCTTTTCCAGTTTGTTGATGTGCTTCTTAAGATATGGGCACCACACAACTGCTGCATATTCTAGCTTTGGCCTAACAAAAGTCGTGAACAATTTCTTTAGTATATCGCCATCCATGTATTTAAAAGCAATTCTGAAGTTAGAAAGCATGGCATAGGCTCCTCGCACAATATTCTTTATGTGGTCCTCAGGTGATAGTTTTCTATCTAGAACCACCCCTAGATCTCTTTCTTTATCAGAATTCTTTAAAGATTTCTCACATAATATATAGGTTGTGTGGGGTCTATGTTCTCCTATTCCACATTCCATAACATGGCAGTTATTAACATTAAATTCCATTTGCCAAGTGGCGCTCCATGTACTTATTTTGTCCAGGTCTTCTTGAAGGGCATGACAATCATCTAAGTTTCTTATCCTTCCTATTATCTTAGCATCATCAGCAAACATGTTCATATAATTCTGTATACCAACTGGTAGATCATTTATGTAGACAATAAATATCACTGGTGCTAGAACTGAACCCTGTGGTACTCCACTTGTGACATTTCTCCAGTCTGATACATTGCCTCTGATCACAGCCCTCATTTTTCTATCAGTCAGAAAATTTTTCATCCATGTTAGAAGCGTACCTGTCACTCCTCCAATATTTTCCAGTTTCCAGAACAACCTCTTATGTGGAACTCTGTCGAAAGCCTTTTTTAGGTCCAGATAGATGCAGTCAACCCAACCATCTCTTTCCTGTAATATCTCTGTTGCTCGATCATAGAAACTGAGTTAATTCGATACACAGGATCTTCCAGATCAAAAACCATTCTGTCTGTCTGATATTATATCATATCTCTCCAGGTGTTCTACCCATTTAGATTTAATTATTTTTCCAATATTTTGACTATTACACTTGTCAATGGTACCGGTCTATAATTAAGGGGGTCTTCCCTGCTTCCACTATTGTGCGGCGCTGGCGGATCCGCTCCAGCTTGAGTTCAGGTTGGACGTCTCATCTGCCCTGTTCTGTAAGCTTTCTCGTAATTTGTTTTACCTCCAGCCTGCTCAGGCGCCGTCCGAGCCGTCCTGATCCTTGGACAGGGTGCTCTATCATTCTTCTCCTCCTCAGTTTGTGGTTGCCTTTTCAATTCAGGATTGTTCTTCCAAGGCTCTGTTTTTATTGGCATTGGCCTCTAGAGGCTGGGTTGAGGAGTGTCATGCTCTCCTCCAGTGCAGGGGGTTTCTGCTATTTCGGTCTTGGTGGTAGGTTTCTTCATTTGCAGTTGGGGGGGGGGGTGTATCGTGTGTTGTGTTCAGTTGCGGCTCTCCAACGTTATCTGCACTTTGGGTTGATCCGGTTTCCCTCGTTCCGTGTTGCAAAACTCGGGTCTCCCAGGTCATCCGCAAGGTTATTAAGTCTAAGTTAAGTAATTAACGTTGTGCCCATGAAGTTAAGAAGTTTGCTACTTTGGCTACTGTGTTTGGCAACATGTCTTGAGCTGATATTCGGGTGCGGGGATTTTCGAGGTCAAACAGGTTCCTGGCCACATGTTATTTGGTGTATGTTCCTGCTCCTGGGCATTCCTGTGTTGCTTTGGGTCGCAGGTTGTGGCCAATTGTCTTAACTTTGCCTTGAGGTGTTTGTGGTGGTCTCCTCCCGGGTAGGCCCCTTTTTTCCTTCTCTTTGGGTATGTAGCTCCAGGGAGCCGTAGGGGCTCCCCACAGAAAACCAGCGTTGAATGTAAAGAAATGCCATTTTCTGGGTGAGCCCCAGAGGCTCCTTGGCAACCCTCCCTCCCTCAGGTCGGGGGTTTTTTGCGTTGTTTTGATTCTTAGCTTTCGAACTGAATGCCTGAGTAGTCCGTGTAGGGAGGGCTGCGCAGACGAGCAGTGCCGCAATGGAGTGTGACTTTGCTTGTTTCCTTGGAATTGGAGGGAGTTCTTCCTTCCTTTTTGATTTTAGTTGTTAGGGTTTTACCATGTGAGGGTTTTGTTATGCCTACCTTTCTGGGTGCCTAACATTGGTCGATGACAGATAAGAAAAAACCCCAACCACTGGGAGGTTTTCCAGGGCCATTGCTCCTTGAAACCTCTTTGAAGGGGCCAGGTTCTGGCTCGTGGTCCCTAGTAGGTCGAACTCCATATCTAATGTTCCAGTCTAATATAACACACATTTGCCCAATAGCTCCAGGGAGCTTCTGGGGCTCACCCAGAAAATGGAGTTTCATTACATTCAATGCTGGTTTTTTTTTTTTTTTTTTTTTAGGTATGGAGTTTCTTCATTCGTTACCAGCATATTATTGCTCATTGTGTGACGTTTTCATGAGGAATAAAGGAGAAGCGGTGAATCACCCCGAGTCCAAGATCCATGTTTCCAAATACAAAGTAAGGTTTATTTTATAAATGTTTGAGTATTAGCTGTTATAGTTTCTGTCACAGGGCTTTATTCTTAACCATCCGGTAGTCTAAGACACAAACACATACAATGTGGATAGTTTGAACTTTGACTTAACGTGTTCAGTTCATCAAGGAAATATTTTTTAAATTTAACCATAATTCAGTTTACATTTTTGTACAAATTTAATCAATATACTGTATTAGTCATGGTTGTAATTCCACTAACCCACTATATATGCCTCCTATAGGGAGCACATTTAGAGTGCCTAATCACTAAGGCTGATTTCCTTGTGCACATAAAATAAATATAACACTAATTTTTCTTTCTGTATCATAAAACATTACTTTTCTGTGCAAAAAAATATACCTTATAAAAAATTCTATTAATTTTAATTTCCCGAGTGTGATGAAGAACTATTGATAACATTATATTCTGAGAAATAATCTACATGTTAACTACAGTGACACCACACCTTACGAATGCCCCTATTTACGAATTTTTCGGGTTATGAGCCCAATTTCTACGTAAAATTTGAATCGGGTTTCGAGCCTTGCCTCAGGTAATGTAGTTTGTTGATATGCGTATGGGCGACCTAGCGCGTGGTTCCTGGTGGCACAGTCGCCCATGCCTTGGCTTACCAGTGCCTCCCGCTTAGTGATACCTGCGCTTGAATTCTTTATAAAGAATTTCATTGTTTTTCTACTTTTTTGAGCTTTGAACATAAAAGTAATTATTATATATCACTCCATGGGTCCCAAGAATGTCAGTGGTAAGGTTCAACCTAAGAAAACACATGTGAGGATGACCACAGAGCATAAACAAGAGATCATTCGTAAACATGAAAATGGTGCACGGGTTGTTGAACTAGCTAGGCAGTACAAAAAATATATGTCAACGACATGCACTGTAATTGAAAAGAAAAAGGACATTATGAATGCTAAAATGGCAAAAGGCGTGTCAACAATCACGAAACAAAGAACACAAACACTTGAGGATGTTGAACAGTTGATATTAATTTGGATACGCAACAAAGATAATGCAGGTGATAGCATTTCAGAGGCCATCATTTGTGAAAAACATTTGTGAAAAAGTATAAAGACCTTTTATTGCATAAAGACCTTTATATTGCATAAAAACCTTTTAAAAAAAAAACCTGGAACGAGTGGTGCAGATACAAAAGAATTTAAGAAAAGCTGGGGATGGTTTGAGAAATTTAGAAAAAGAAGTGGCATTCACAGTTTTGTGAGAGTTGAGTGTTGCGTGTTGTGAGTTGGTGGAGGAACTCGGTGAAGAACTGACCACCGAAGAACTCCTAGCCTTTCACAAGGAGCAGCAACAAGAGGCAGCTGAGGAAATTTCTTCAGGGGAGGAGGAGATAGTACAGAATGTCCCTTCTCAACAATTAACCACTGTGATGCGCCGAGTTTATTGTGACATTCCCCTTGTGCGCATGAAATCAAGTGTTCCCTCCAACTTTTTCTAATTTGTAAAATTATAAATTCCCTTCCTTGAACATGTCTATGTAAAAATAAATACCAAATTCCACTTTGGCTGTGGGGACGTGGACAAGGTGCGCTGTGACGTCATCAGGGGCTGGTCGCCCGTGCGTGAAGCTCCCAAACACGGTCGCCCAGGCCATTCAAGTACCGGGAGTTGCCACAAATATATTTTAAATTATTTTTTCTATGTATTTCTAATGTGGTTTTATTTGTTTTTTTATCATATGTGATGCATGTTTGTATCCTTTACAATATGTTTACAGTAGAAAGTTCATAATGTTCCATGGAACTGTGATACATGTGTTAGTAATGTGTCCACAATAAATATATATTGTCACAATATTACTTGTTAAAAAAATCACTAAAATTACAATATGTACAGTTTCACACACTATTTTCACAGCAACACTGTATTACACACTCAGTACTTCGGAAGTGAGTAATAATCAGTGTAGTAGTCCATGGTGCACAGCGCGACTTCGCTCTTGTTGCACCAGGCACAAATAGATTTTCACTTCCTGTTTCATCGTTCTGTGTGCTTGCACTCAAGTTCCCCCTTGGCTTTAGTACTTGTAGATGGTATGTAACCAAGCTTGTAAAGCATAAGGTAGTATTGAAAAGATTATAGGAAAAGATCAATTTGTAAGGTAGTCCTGAAAAGATTGCTTTGTAAGGTCCCACACTGGAAGAGCCTAGAGCTAGTCTACCTTGAAGAGTGTCAGTCAGTCTGGAAGAGATTCAGCTATTCTTGAAAATATCTATGGAAAACACCACCATGGAAGCCACTAACACTGTTCATCTATGCTACTTGTATCAGATGCATCATCACTGAACACAGAAAACGATTCATGTATATATCATCTTTATAAATTGGAGATGGCAAGGGTGGTGCTAAGAGCTACAACTGGATACGCTTGCTGTATTGTCCTCATAGGTGGTGTAGCACTTGCATCCGACCTTTGTGTTAGGTCATTATTGTGCCTAGCTTCACCAATATCATGACCCTTATGTTCTTCTAACAATAAGGTCTAAATTTCACCGACAGGGTGCGATCTTTTAACACCGCGTCGGACAGGTTTTTGGGAGCCAGAGGTGCATGCGCCACCCATGGTTGCTCACTCAGTACTAACCCCAACCAGCAGCCCTAGGGCATTCCCACCATTCCCCACTCCCTCATCTGATAATCAAACGATTTGAAGTTCCCATCAGAAAATTGGGAACATCAAATGATATGGACCTAGATACATGAAGTTACACAACATTCACGAACCTGTACATCTTTTCTCAATCTTTGGCAGCTTTGTTTACAATTATTAAACAGTTAATGAGCTCTGAAGCACCAGGAGGCTGTTTATAACAATACCAACAGTTGATTTGGCAAGTTATTATGCTTGTAAACTGTTTAATAAATGTAACCAAAGCCATCAAAGATTGAGGAAAGATGTACACGTTCGTAAGTACTTGCGTAACTGCTTCGTGAATCTGGCCCCAGATGTTCTCATCACTAAAATATAAGAAAAACAGTTCAAAAAACGAAATGAAAAACAATTAAAAAAAATAATAAACTATACTCACAAAATGAATGGTATGGTAAATAACACAGCTCAATTCCAATGCAATGTCACACAAAATAATTAAATAAAAATAAATCAAAATCTATGCAAATTCAATTTATCAATGAAATGGGAAACGTTGAAATGGAATCATAACATATTTAGTATAGCGTGTGTTAGTCTTATGTGCAACAGATGGCGCTGATTTTCAAAAATGCATGTTTTTACCTATCACAGGGGTGGCATCTATATAGTAGGCATATAAAAACATGCGCATATTCGAATGGAACATTGTGTCAAAATTTCAAAGCAATCGGTGAAGAAAATTTGGAGATTACAGCGTGTGTTGGTCTCAAGTCCAACAGACGGCACCGTTTTTCAAAAAAAGCATGTTTTTTCCTGTTACAGATGAGGCATGTATATAGTGGGTATATAAAAAGATGCGCCTATTCAAATACAACATTGTGTCAAATTTTCAAACCAATCGGTAAAGAGGTTTTGAAGATTTCCCTCACTTGAAAACCACATGAAAAACACAGCTTAAGAAAAAAAAAGAATGTTTTTTTCCTGTCACAGATGTGACATCTATATAATATGTATATAAAAACCAGCTCTGATGCGAATGGAACGTTGTGTGAAAATTTCAAAGCAATCAGTGAAGAACTTTCAGAGATTATCGATAATGAACAAACGAACATTTCCATATATATTTATTTATGTCGTACCTAGTAGCCAGAACGCACTTCTCAGCCTACTATGCAAGGCCCGATTTGCCTAATAAGCCAAGTTTACCTGAATTAATATATTTTTTTCTAATTTTTTTCTTATGAAATGATAAAGCAACCCATTTCATTATGTATGAGGTCAATTTTATTTTATTGGAGTTAAAATTAACGTAGATATATGACCGAACCTAACCAACCCTACCTAACCTAACATAACCTATCTTTATAGGTTAGGTTAGGTAGCCGAAAAAGTTACGTTAGGTTAGGTAGTCGAAAAAACATTAATTCATGAAAACTTGGCTTATTAGGCAAATCGGGCCTTGCATAGTAGGCTGAGAAGTGCGTTCTGGCTACTAGGTACGACATTATATATATATATATATATATAATATATATATATATATATATATATATATATATATATATATATATATATATATATATATATATATATATATATATGTATAATATATATATATATGTATAATATATATATATATATGTATAATATATATGTGTATATGTATATATATATATATATATATATATATGTATAATATATATATATATATATATATATAATATATATATATATATATATATATATATATATATATATATATATATATATATATATATATATATATATATATATATATATATATATATATATATATATATATATATATATATATATATATATATATTATACATATATATATATATATATATATATATATATATATATATATATATATATATATATATATATATATATATATATATATATATATATATATATATATATATATATATATATATATATATATATATATATATATATATATATATATATATATATATATATGTCGTACCTAGTAGCCAGAACGCACTTCTCGGCCTACTATTCAAGGCCCGATTTGCCTAATAAGCCAAGTTTTCATGAATTTATTGTTTTTTGACAACCTAACCTACCTAACCTAACCTAACTTTTTCGGCTACCTAAGCGAACCTAACCTATAAAGATAGGTTAGGTTAGGTTAGGTAGGGTTGGTTAGGTTCGGTCATATATCTACGTTAATTTTAACTCAAATAAAAAAAATTGACCTCATACATAATACAATGGGTAGCTTTATCATTTCATAAGAAAAAAATAAGAGAAAATATATTAATTCAGGAAAACTTGGCTTATTAGGCAAATCGGGCCTTG